TTTAATTTATTAATTATTTAATTAAATTTATTAACTTAATAAAGATACTAAAATTAATATTAATTCTTATATATTTTATGTATATATGTACAATAAAAACATGCCTTCAATTTGTATGTACAGATAATAAAAAACCCTAAAGTTTTTTTTTTTTATACCGATAATTTAATTAAAATCGAATCCTTTCCAATATTAAAAATAAATAAACGGTTATTAGTCGCCATAAGCATTGTTGTTGTTTCCTGCGTAGGACCCATGTCGCGTCCCAAATTTAGCCAAGAAGTGGCCCCCATCACCAGCAACCTACCGACCATACGAAATGAGATTAGAATGCATCTTTTCTTTTTCCCAACGAGATGGGCTGGGAATGCAGTAAAAAATACACAATGAAGATATTATCTTATTGATTGATATTTTACCATTTAAGGGCAGAGTTTATGGGGAGATGGGTGAGAGCTGAATGCTTCAAGTTGTTTGAAGTAAATAGGAGTTAGCACTATTTTAATAATGTACTGAAAAAGTTTGGTGTTCTACAAGTTATAACTATATTAGATGGTAAAATATCAATTAATAAGATAATATTTTCATTGTGTATATATATATATTATCACCTTCTAATGATATGAAATAACGTTAGTATGTGAATCTTGCGAAGTGCCATTTGCATTTGGGACCTCATTAGTCTCTCCATCTTTCTTTTTTTCCATTATTTTTTTAGAAAAATACACTCAGCTAACTTTTGGTATTAATTAGTTTAACTTCACTTATAAAACACATTGTAAACAGTTATCAATTGGATGACCCATTTTTCATTTAATTAATATTTAAAGAACTAGGTCCAATTATTAATTAATTATTACATATAAAAATAGAAATTGGATGCATGACCCAAAAGAGACCACCCAATCTCAATATCAAAAAGAATTGGGATGGTAAAGCCGCAATTGTTTGGGAATTTGGTTAACCTTCTTCTTCTAGGGAAGATGATACCTCCGTTCCTTGATCTTGCTCTCACATACACAATTTGCTGCCAGACCACTTCATGTCCAACTAAACTATATATGGGATGATACCTCTCTCACAAGACAATAAAAGGGAAGGAAACAAAGAAAGACACCAAAGGTCCTACTCCTCAATCATCATATACTATATATATGAGAAGTAAATACAAAAGAGATTCAAATAATAATAATAATAATAATAACAAATTTGTAAAGCTCCCAATGAAATTTTTGTTTCTCAATTTCCATACCCTGTTGGGAACTCGCAATTTCCATTAGCCTGCAAGAAAAACAGCTAGAGATTTAGGACAAATTAAATGCAGAAGTCAGAAGAAGGCCATGAATGGCAAGTGGTTGTAATAAAATGCCCAAAAGCTAAGAGCACTAGTCCCCCCAACAATTGGATAGCGTATAATGTTGACAAGTCAAGTGACAACTAGCTAAATTTTCTTTGTGGTTCTACATATGATCTAAAAACTCACTCCGAGAATTTAACTTCAGTTCAAATTCTGAGCATCGTAAATACTTATATATTAATATATATAGAACCTGATATTTTGGGCCAAGTGATTCTAGTTATGTTTGTAAAGTTCATATTCCCTTCTCTCAGGACAACGGTTCGAGTCGGCCTATATAAAAATGTTCAAAAAATATATATATATATATTAATATATATAAAATTATAAATTTATAATAAAAAATATTATTAAATAAAGAACCAAACCTCTAACCTCAATAATTCATTTTTAAATTTTAAAGTCTTTGAATTAATTGATTAAAATTTTAAGCTTTATTAACATCCTAAAAGATTTTTTTTTTCAAATTGTATACTGTTTAAAAAAATATTACTAAATAAAAATAATATATCATGTGAACACAATTAACATACAAATACACTTTAAATAAAAAAATTAAATATATAAAAACATACCATAAAACCAAAATCGCACATGCCAGCGCCACGAGAATTCTTCTGATAATGTCAGTTTAAGGCGTATTTCTACGCCAGAAAAACAGTTGAAGGGAAACGAAACCACCACCTCGAGCGTGTTCGCGTCACACAACGAAACACTGACTCGGACTCTGGAGGCCGGAGCCTGACTCTGGTTCCCGCCGCTGACCGGCGTTGCCTCCCCGCTCTGGAGCTCCGATTGGGTTAAAGGTATGCTATATACCTTTTTCTCGTTCGCGTAAAATAACCCGTAATTCCGCCCCGATGCCGGCCCCGGTTTCTCGTTCTCGTTGAAGAGAGCATATAGGTAGACGTTGAGTGGGTCCTGTGGTCTCAAGGGGGTGCCACTTCCGGTCAAAACTCTGCGTACCAAGTTCCCGTTATACGCCGCCGCATTCTCTTTAACTGCGCCAATCTCGTTCTCGTCCCCCATCGACGGCCACCCTGTTTCGGTTACCACCATCTTCACATCGTTGTAATTGAGGGCGGACATGGCGGTGAAAACAGCGTCCAGCTGGGCTTCTAACAAACTGTAGTACTTCAACCCGTTGCCGGAATCCACCGCACCGGAGTTATTCCTGAACAGAGCGTAGTCCAAAGAGATAGTGTCCGAGTTGGCTGAGTATGCAAAGAAGGGGTAAGCATTGACCATGAGATATGATCCCGTTTGGCGCAGGAAATCCAACATGGGTTTGACTACTGGTTCAATCAATTCGGATTTGAACGATCCGCATGAAGGCGGATCTGAGCTTTGCAAGTCGTTGAGAGCAATTGGGGAGGAGATTTTAATGGCGGAATCGAGGTTATACTTCGCGAGGGAGTTGTAAACGTTCTTCATGGCGGGTACGAGGGACATCATCGTGTTGTTGGGGTCGACGAAGACCTCATTTCCGACTGCAATTGCTTCAACGTTGGTGGTGGGATAGTATTTCAAGATGTTGCCTTGGACCCAATTATCGGCGAAGGACTGATCGGCGGCCGTAGAGGAGAGTAGCTCGTTGGGAAGGGCAACCACGACGCTTATACTTGAGTTGGCCAGGGCTGTGAGGACCTCTGCGTCGGTGTCGTAGAGCTTAACTCTGTCTATCCCCTGTGTTTTTAGAAGCTCCACCACCTTATCTGGGGACGGTAAATTGTTGGCCACGCGGCCGTAGTTCACTCCTATCAAACCGGTGGCATCAACAATGCTAGAAAAAAGGATGGCGGAGAGGAGGAAATGGAAAATAAAGACACCGTATGACGCCATGCTGTTCTCTTTCGGAAAAGTGATAATTCTCAGAGGAATAAACCCTCCCTCTACGAACACCAATATAAAGGAGTTTAGGTAGGATTTGTGAGCAATCCTGGCCTCTCCTTGTTGCTAAAAAACTGATTGCCCCAAATTCTCTCTTTTCTCTCTCTAACGAATAGATGTGCGCTGGGCTATATGGACACTAAGGACTGCCCATTCTTGAAGACAAGAACAACACCAGAGGGAGGGAGGGTCGAATCAGACCGTCGAATATGCCACGTGGCAAGCTGGTAGTGGTGCCCAACCACTGAAAACAATCGCCAACCCTTGAGGTTGATTCATCGCCGTTGGAATCGCCAAAGATAAATTAATATTTACATTGTGCATGGAACGGAACAGAAGACTTGATGATGTCTTCGTGGTGCACGTCTCTCCGAATCAAGTCTGAATTTCAGATGAGTGTTTTTGTCTTGTTCTAGTTTGCGATCTAGTCTAGGAACAAATTCTACGTGGGTCATCTCTCCGTTGCATTTTTTCCTCTTTTCATGTTTCACAACTCCAAAATTACAGTCACTTTCTAACAAGTATTATTCTTAAGACAGGGCGATAAATTAATATTTATATAAATTAATAGTATTATTCTTATGATATTAATTATATTTATATGATATATTATTCTTATTTAATAATATTTTTTTATTATAAATTTATAATTCTATATGTATTATAACTATAATATTTTCCTATTTACAATATTCCGAATGAGTTTTTAGATCATATGTAGAACCATAAAGAAAATTTAGCAACTTCTCACTTGATTTTTCAACATTATACGTGTAATTGCACCAAAGCAGAAGTCATTTTTCAATTCGTATTAGCACTTCGGATCAACCTGCAAAGCCTCGAAGTGGGTCCTCGGGGTAGACACTCTGATATTTAAGTCAGCAATAATCGGGCTACCTTTAGAGCGGAGATAAAAGGGACTTAGGGTTGGTTTCAATTACTTTTTTTACGTGGTGCCTGGGGGGTATTTATAGGCTCCAGTGAGGAACCCACGTGGCATGCCAAGCAAGATAATTGGAGCCTGACATGTCCATCCAGATGATTATTTCGGGACAGGGAATTTGAGAGATATTCAGAGACAAGGATGTCTACCATAACTGTTGTCCAGGTTATCATAAATAATCAGATGAGGGTATGCTTATTATCGTTGTCATGCAACTGTTTGAGCGGAAAGTTTTGGATTTATTCTTCACTTCGGTTATAAAGTAATTACCGCAGTAGTCCGAGGCTGGTCACCTCGGTCCTATCCTTACACGTCGAATATGCCACGTGGCAAGCTGGTAGTGGTGCCCAACCACTGAAAACAATCGCCAACCCTTGAGGT